AGAATTGGTTATTAGAAGAGAAGTTACCATGGATGATGCCCAATATAGCTGAAAAATGCCTCCAAATAGGTTGAACCTGTTGACACTCTAAGAGACAGTGACTTGCTGTGTATGGACCATTGTGGCACAAGAAGCAAACTGAGGGAAGATGAAAACCAAGTCTCTCTAAGTTCTCAGGGATGGGCAGAGCTTTCTTGAATAATTTCCAGAGGAAAATGCTAACTTTAGGGTTTTGCCCTTTCCCCCATATGTACATGAAATATCTACATGTAGGACGAGAGACTCTACAAATGTCATAAGCACTAGATAAACTAAAGAGTTTATCAGAGGTTTGTTCCCAATTCAAGATTCCCTCCTCATTTTCAGTAGTGTTCACCACACCAATCTCATCAATTTCAACAATACGCTTCCAGACGGGGGAGTCAATAATATGGGCTTCCATTTCACCATCTCGTTCATATTTTGCGTGCATAAATTTAGCCCAAAGGCTAGTGTTGCTGTGGTAATTCCACCAGAGTTTTAAACTGAAAGAGTCTTGTAAGGAGCTAAGGTCTCTGATCCCCAAACCACCTTCTTCTTTTGGTGTACAGATGTCCTCCCAATTAACCCAATGGTGCTTGCTTTTCCACCAGAATCTGGACATTTTCTGTTTAAGAATGTTTTGGACTGACTTGGGGAGGGTGCTGGAGCCTAAGAAGAATATAGGCAGAGTATTCAAGACATGATTAATCAGTATGAGTCTACCAGCTTGATCAAGTTGCTTAAACTGCCAGCTTCCAAGCTTTCTGTCAAAAGCAGTGATCAATTGATTACAATGCTGAGTTCTGGTGATGCCCTTATCAATTGATATTCCAAGATAGGTGAAAGGAAGTTTTTTATGTTGCATGTCTAGTCGTTTTTCCAGTTCTGCAATCTTCCTGCTGTTTTGAAATTTGCCCACAAAGAAGCTTGATTTTTGTTTGTTGATATTCTGGCCAGAGCATTCTTGGTAAGTTTTGAGGAAAAACTTGAGATTGACAAGTGATTTGCAGCTGCTGTTACAAAAGATGATGATGTCATCAGCATAAGATAAGTGAGATATAGGAATGGAGTTATTACCACAGTTGTATCTTCCAATGACACCATGATTCATGAGCTTGTTAAGGTTTTTGGAGAAGGCCTCATTTGCAATAATAAAGAGTAAAGGAGATAATGGATCCCCTTGTTTAATACCCCTAGTCTGACTGAAGAAGCCACATGGTTTTCCATTGACAACCACTGAGTATTTGGAAGAGTTCATCAAGTTATGAATAATGTGGATGAGTCTGTTGGAGAAACCAAATCTCAAGAGTACATCAAATAGAAAGCTCCACTTCAGTTTGTCAAAAGCCTTAGACAAGTCCAATTTAACAATGATATTTCCACCCCAAGCCTTTATATCAAGATTGTGAACCATTTCCTTTGTGAGAAGTATCTGTTCACTAATATCTTTGCCCATCATGTATGCACCCTGTTCTTCTGAGATGAGGATGGGTAATAACTTAGACAGCCTGTTTGCAAGACATTTTGAGGCCAGTTTGATTGCCACAGTGGACAAGCAAATAGGTCTAAAGTCATGTACACTGCTGGGATTATCCACCTTGGGAATGAGGACAAGGTTGGATGAAGTGGCAGCATCAGGTAATGGAGTTCCCAACCAGACTTCTTGGCAGGCTGAGATAAGTTCCTTTTTTATGATGTCCCAGCAGTGCTTAAAGAAGAAAACATTGTAACCATCTAGTCCAGCAGCTGAATTAGGATCCATCGCCCAAAGTGTTTTTAATCTCCACTTCAAGGGGAAGCCTGAGGAGGTCCTCATTGTGTGACTGGAGCAATACATGGGGTATAGCACTCATAAATTGATCATAATCTGAGGAGGGACATGATGGTTCACTGCTGTTGAAAAGGGAGTTGTAATGGGAGGTGATCAGTTGCTCTAGTTCATTTGTTGTGTTTATCAATTCCCCATTGTCGTTGAGCAAACAGGAGATATGTTGCTTTCTCCTTTTTTCTTTGACAAAATTGTGAAAGAACTCAGTATTAGCATCACCATCTGCCAGCCATTTAATATTGCTCTTTTGCTTCCAAAAGGTGTATTCCAAATTGGTGACAAAAGCCAGGTGGGACTTCTTTAGATTAAGTATTTCCTTGTTTGTGATGCTGGGATCATTGTCAAATTCTTGTTCTGACAAGAACGATATATATATATATATATATATATATATATATATATATATATATATATATATATATATATATATATATATATATATATCGTTCTTCCACCGTTCGTCGATATTCGATGCCGACTCAATCAAAATGGTGAGAAGACACAAGATCAATAGTGGAATTTTCAATCCTATTTCATCGTCTTACGTGTAACTCAAGTTTTAATTCTTTTCTTTTGTTTTGGTATGGCCAAAAATCTCAAATTTTTTATAATGCATATATATTTTTGGAAATGTTGAAAGAATCTTCAATTTTTTTCATCTAATGCAATTTTTTTGGTATGCTGCAAAAAGGTGATTTTTTTTTATATTGCAATTCTCTTTTGGTATGTTGCAAATAAAATTGCAAACTTTTATGATTTCGTTCTTTGATTTGAATAATACTCGGATCACATGATCTCTAAATAGCAAAAATTTTAATTTTTCAATACGCCTCTTAACCCGTTGGGTCAACCCGAACCCGATAACTCTGGGTCATGAACAAGTACTCTTAGACCCGAACCCGAAGTGACCCGAACCCGAAATAACCCGAACCCGATTATAACGAACCCGAACCCGACCTGACCGACCGTTTTGCCAGGTCTACTTTTTTTGGAAGGAGGAACTCAAGGAACATACCAAGGCCACAAAATTGAAGAACAAGTATGGGTTATTATTTTAATTGTAGAAAAAAATATTTCCTCTAAACTTTAAAGAATATGATGCATCTTTTTTAGGTACTTTCTCTGTCTCTAAATAATTTACACTTTATGCATAATGAAGTAAAATTTAATTATTTTTTTAATTCATTTTATTTAAAAATTGGCATGTAAATAAAAATTAATATTTACATATTTAAAAAGTGCTCCATACACCAAAAGTTCTACAAAGTAAAAGTAGAAAAAAAATATTTTATTTCATCAAATAATCAATAAAAATACATAAATAAATAAAAGTATTTATCATTTAAAATATACAAAGTATATCGTTATGCATTATATGGTACGTGATTAAAACATATCTTCCTCTTTGGACATGAAAACTTTAAATAGTCAATTTGGGTTTTAATTTCTTTTTCTAAACACAATAATAAAATAAATGATATACAATTACTCCATACTAAACATCACAAACATTAAAGGTACAATGTTGTTATCATTCCAAAGTTAAAACTTTTATAATATTATTGAGGAATGCATATAGGTCAATGCATTGTCATTCTAAGGTTGTCATTGACCCATTTAGGTCAAAGAATCCCTTAAGTATAAAAGAAGATAATCCCCTCTAATGATTTCATACGCTATGATCATAAATAAGAGTCAATTATGTTCAACCATGGTCTCACTTAGGCCTTCTTCTCAAAAAAAAATATGTATTTATTCATGAACAATTATACGTTGCAATTCAAGAATTACGGATCGTAGTAGTATAAAAAATTTTATTTGTGATGAGAATGGTCAACAAGCATGCTCCAAATCACGTGTTGTTTATAATAAAGTTTAGAGTAAATTCCATAATTGGTCCTTTATAACAGGTGGGTTTTCTTATTTAGTCCTCTATTATCAAATATTACCCCAGTGGTCCTTCTTTTATGGATATCTTTCCACAGATAGTCCTTTTTTTGATCTTCTATCATGTTGGTGTTAATTTGAAGGCTAAAAGTGTAATTTCACAATGATAATATATCTTTTTTGTCATACACAATTCCAAAGGCTGTTCCAATTGCGTCGTTTGTGAATTACAGTCGCTTTCTACTACAACCATAATATATAAATGTGGTCTTTCGTCGGAATCCTAGACCACAATCATAGTCATTATTTTCGTGTTATCAGCTTAACCAATATCAGAACACGTCACTAGACATAATGTTGATGTCAAATTATATTTTTAGCCTTAAAATTAACACCAACATGACAGAAGATCAAAAAAAGACCATTTGTGGAAAGGCAACCTTAAAAAAAGGACTACGAGGGTAATATTTGATAACAGATGACTAAATATGGAAACCACCCTATTATAAAGGACCAATTATGGAATTTACTTTAAAGTTTATCATAATTTGTGAGCGTTTTATCAATCAATGTATGATGTATTGTATAATTTGATTGCATTTGACTCTAATACACCATTTGTTTTCATGTGAATCTAAATTTATATCACATCATATCATTCACTTAAATTTATTTGTACTCAATCATTGATAACTAAAATATTTTATATTTTTATTATTTTTATTTTGAAACAAATCATTTTCTGTGCAACGGACAGGTATGAATCTAGTATTTAAAAAATAAATAAAAAAATTTAAAAACAAAAAATAACAAAAATATTTTTTTCTTCAAATTTTGATATACTCTTTTTAGTAATAACAAAGTTTAATTTGTTCTGGAGAATGTATTTTATATAATAAAGACATATTGACCATTTGATGAATGTCTATTTGGTTCGGTTAATTTTTTTTTATTATTTAAATAGATCAGATCTAAATATATTTGGTCTGATGTAATTAATTTGATGTGAGTATAAAAGAAACAAATAAAAAAATAAAAAGATAAATATACTTTTAGACCATGTAAAATAGGTTACTTTTATTTATTTTACAAGGATGATTTGATAAAAAGAGACTTTAGAGGGACTTAAAGGAAAAACTATTCATTTCATAGTAATCAAAAACATATTTAACCATAAAACTAAATAATACTCCCTTTGTTCCATATTAGAAACAATTTTTTATTTACGATGCAAAACCCCTTATTTTTAAAATCAATTTATATAAAAATTTATATAAGAAAAATTAGTAAAATTTGCATATTAAAAGATAACATTAAATTCCTACAAAATAAGTGATGATAACAGTATTTACTGTATCAAATAATCAATTAAAATACAAAAAGAAACAAAGGTTATTGAGAGGTAGGTTGTAAAAAATTATAATCTATTTTAGGAAGAAGGGAGTAAGAACATGTTCTCTTCAACTTATTTATTTACTTAATACATTGAGAATGTTATAATTAAGTTAGTAACATCCAAAAAATTTTTTAAATATAACTAGAAACAAATAAGAATTTAATAGAATCTAATTATGGAGTAGAATAATGAATTAGATAAATGAAAAAAGCATAAAATTACTCTTGAATACCCTTGATTTTTTGGTAATAACTTACAAGGTCTCATATTATCTTAAATATATTGTGGGGTATTCTTGATTTTCTAATAAGACTTCTCAGGTCTCACATTTTTAAACTATGCTCTGGGGATCCTTAAAATTGGTAGTAATGTACTTTGAGGATACATTTCACCAATTTGGCCGTTATGATTGAAATATCTATTATTTTAGCAAATATTAAAGGTCTCATATTATCTTAAATATATTGTGGGGTATCCTTGATTTTCTAATAAGACTTCTCAGGTCTCACATTTTTAAACTATGCTATGGGGATCCTTAAAATTGGTAGTAATGTACTTTGAGGATACATTCCACCAATTTGGCCGTTATGATTGAAATATCTATTATTTTAGTAAATATTAAAGTTTACATTGATAATCATTACTTTATTAAATTTAAAAAACAAATTCTTTAGTTTGTTAGAATAAAAGAACTGTTAATCTAACGTCTAAATTGAGAAGATTTACCTTCTGAAATCTCAGACTATATTTTAAATAATGTAAGACTGAGAGTTCTTATCAAAAAATTAAAAATACACTCAAACATATGTTTGAGATAATGTATAACTTGAAAGTCATTATCTAAAAAAAATTGATGGTCCATGAAAGTAATTTTTTGAAAGAGAACGTCCTCGGACAAAAAGCTCTCGGGAGAACATCTCTCACTCACCTATAGAGGTGTAAATGGATATTAATTGGATCAGATGTATCATTACCAAATCCGTATCCGTTTATTTTTTTCGGATATCAAATTCGGATATGAATCTTGACGGATAATGAAAATCAAAACCGTATTCGCATCCGTCGGATATCGGATATATCCATATGTGTTTCTAATTTTTAAAATCAAATTAAACAATACTTAAATTTTAAAATAGATTAGAGTCAAACTATTATTAAATCAAAAATAATTTGTTATGAAATAATTATTTTCCTTATTTTCATAATTTATGATATTCTTTTATAACTTCATATGATAAAAAGATGTACACAACACATACACATATTTTTATATGTTGCACGTATTTTTATGTGTTTACACATTTATTTTGTGTATAAAAATATTTTATACTTTGAAATATCAATTGAAAAACAAAATATAAACATAAAAAATTAGGAAAAACTATGTATAACGGACCGAATATTCGGATAAAGGATTATTTAAACGGATGCATATTCGGATTGGATTTTAAACGAATCGGATATACAATTATCAAATCTGTATCTGTTTAGTAATCGGATACGAATAATATTTGTTTAAAACGGATACGAATATTTCTCCCGGCTCTGCTACTCACCTAGTAGAAGGATAAGATTTGACGGACTGCTTTCCCTCCGCACTGGCCTCATTCCTTCCTACTCGACAGGTATTTCATTTTCTACTCTTCATCTTCAGTCTTCTTCGTTGCTTCAACTTCTTCAGTCGTATCAAATACTCTCATACCACACTCATTTTGTATTTCAACTGTCCGGCACACAATTTATAGGGTTTGAGATGTTCAATATTCCAAAGCCGAAACACGATTCCGCACTTCTTCTTCTAACCCTATATTTTCTAGATGTATCTACGGATCTTTTTTTTCATGTTTCAGAGTTTCGCAATTTCGTACATTTTTTGTTTACACCAGACTGATTCAGTTGTAAGTTTTGGCTTTTTTAAAAATCTGTGATTGTCATTTTTAAAATATTAAGAGTATCAATTACACCAAAATAGCTTTATTCTAATTTTCAATATTACATACTCCATCAATCCTAGATTTTCCTGCTTTCTTTTTTCCACAGCTGTCCCCAAACAAGTTCACATTTTATTTAGAGAAAGAAATGAGTTGTTCTTCGCTCTGCTGCATAATTCTTTTCTTAAACTCCGTGAAAATGCAAACAAAACCTTTTTTTAGAGACATAGAGAGTATTAGACTGAAAAAGAAAACGAGTGATTCTTTTGACACGGAGGGAGCATTACAATAATCAATAATGGATCTACATTTTTGTCAGAATTTTTAAAAGTGTTTTGGAGATTGGAAAGGATTGCTAGCATGAAAAGAGGGAGAAACATTCTTAGGCCAATTTATGGAGTGATAGCATGAATTGTCTTCACCCTCCATCCTTTGGATGGGATGAATTGCAAAAGCTTTGATTTTGTTGTTGGAAACCACCAAGTTTCTATCGCTGTTGCTATAGTTAGTCTTCTTTTGCAGTACTCTTTTAAACATTGAGATCCACAAGAGAATGACCCTTACCTTCCCTTTCCCTTTGAGACTCTATTACTTTTTCTTCATTCAGTTTTTTTCTGGTAAAATTGGCAAATCAAACAGCACTATTATATATCTATATAGAAGATTTATGTTGTCTGCCTTGCGGGGGTTGGGGGGGGGGGATGGTGGGGGAAAGGGTCTTCAAGATTGTATGTTTAAAGACTTGAATATTGATATTTAAATGAGTGAATGTCCAGTTATGAGCTTCAATATGTTTGTGAATGTGCAAAACATTGATTAGTCGCTGCATTTGCCAATTTCCTTTGTAGTGCGGGTGTATGTTATGTGGCATTGATATCAGTGATGCTTATCATAATTCCTACAAGTTTTGATTGAAAAAATATTCCCTCCCTTCAGATTTAGTTGTCTACTTTCTCATCTTCATGCTTCCGGAATTAGTTATCCACTTCTTATGCTACGTATTTAGTAATCAAATCAATGTATATAATCTAATTTACCCTCTGCTATCTAATTACCCGCTGCATTACATGTTAGATTTGTTTATATTGGAATGATAAACTCATTCCACAGATTTACTTGACATTTCACCTTCACTCCTTAAATATGAGCTATCTTAGAAAGTGGACAACTAAATCCAGATAGAGGGAGTAAATTATATTTTGTGAAGAAAACATTATATCTTATTGTTGTCATTTGTCATTATTTGTACTATTATGAAGTTCCCTAACCTTCTATGAATCATTATCAGGAAATATGGAAACTACAAACATCCACAGCTCTGGCATTATGTGGTTTTTCAAAGAGAAAGGTTTCAATGATAAAAGTATCCACGTAATATTTCAAAAGTGCAAGCGTCTTGAGGGCATGCAAAGTGAAAATGCCTCGGAGAACTGGGATTACTTGAAAAGCGTGGGCGTTAAGGAGAGGAAACTTCCTTCCCTTATCCGAAAGTGTCCCAAAATCCTAACTCTCGGCTTGCATGATAAACTGATTCCCATGGTCCAGTGTCTTGCCACACTGGGATCGAAACCGGGAGATGTAGCTTCTGCCATAACGAAATTTCCTCACATACTTTCCCACAGTGTTGAAGAGAAGCTCTGCCCGCTTCTCGCCTTCTTTGAGGCTCTTGGTGTTACTGACAAACAACTTGGGAAGATGATATTGCAAAACCCCAGAATTCTAAGCTACAGCATCGAATCAAAGCTTTCCCAAATTGTGGATTTTCTCGCCAGTCTGGGCCTATCCAAGGAAGTCATGATTGGAAAAGTACTGGTGAAATACCCGTTTATAATGGGTTATAACGTTGAAAACAGGTTGCGTCCCACATCCGACTTCTTGAAGTCATTGGGTCTAACTGAGCTTGATCTGCAAAGAGTGGTTACTAATTTCCCTGCTATTTTGTGCCGTGATGCCAACAAGACCATGAAGCCTAATCTTTCCTACTTGAGAACCCGCGGGTTTGAGCTCTCACAGATTGCAGCTATGGTCACACATTATCCCCCACTTCTGATTAAGAGTATCGACCACTCTCTGGAGCCGCGGATTAGGTTTTTGGTAGATGTGATGGGAAGAGGACTTGATGAGGCCGCTAATTATCCGGACTACTTCAAGCATGGGCTGAAGAAGACATTAGAGATGAGGCAAAAACTTTTGAGAGAGAAGAACATAGAGTGTAGCCTGAGTGAAATGCTGGACTGCAATGAGAAGAAATTCATGTCTAGGTTTGCTCTAGTCTAGTAACCTGCCCCAAGCTTCTTTTTTCATTCCCTGTTTCTTCTGC